AGTCTAAGTCAACCTTTATAGGGTATACAGGAAGCTAACATGAAGACAGACCTATGTCTACTAAATACTTATAAAATACGTTTACCTTAAGGACTATGTGCAGCTAAATAGTGTTCTTTTCTGTTTTCCTGGAGGCCAACTTTAAAGTAGTACTAAGGTCCGGGCGTTTTTTACCTTAATGCATTCTCTGCATTAGGGTAAAAACGGCCCAGCACCTTTTTTCTCCCCCAGTCCCCCCCACACTTACCTGTCAGCTGCGCACGTCCCCGCCGCGATTCCCCAAACTTCCCGGTTGCGGGGGGAGGATACTGATGGCAGAGGAGCCATAGGCTCCTTCTGCCATCAATCAAAGAGAGAAGGGGCGTGGCCTGCCACAGGGCTGTGTGTGTGTCTATGGACGCACACAGCCACTATGGGCACAAGCGTGCACGGGTGCCTCCATTAGAACGATGCTGGCACCCATACAGGGGGCGAGGGGAAGATTGCTGCGGGGACCCACAAGGAATTAAAAACTTTTGAAGAAAAACAGCAACAGCCTCCAGCAAAGGTCGGTCTCCTTGTAGAAAACATTTTTTTTTTTTTAAAAGGGAGGCGTTAATATCACTGTAAGTGATGTTTAGTTTTTTAGGAGAGGTATTATGAGACTGGATAGGAGGAGAAGCAGACTAGTGATGAGCTCATCTCTCTGTCCCTCTGCTCTCTCCTCCTATTGGCACATGAACAACACATGAACTGACTGGCTTCTTGTGCTGCTTCTCCCTCCCCTAGCCTGAGCTCTGCTGTGCAGGGACTGACACCAAGTCAATCACACAGAGCTACATTCATTTCTGTCTTTTTTTTGTAATCTGCCCCGACATCAGCTTTAAAATGGAGTCTGTCAAGCCAACGTGACCAAGCCCATAACACGCCTCATATTTATTTGATGCCGTTCCTAACAAAATCCATAAACACATTTTCGACGGCGCTGCCGTAATAATCATGTCAGCTGGGAGAGGTCAAAATTGTACGACGTTCTTCTGTTTTACAGAAACATTTCTTTTTATGATTTATCCCGAGGAATAATTCCATCACACAAAGTAAACCAGAACTTCGCGTTTCTTTTTTTATTTATTTACATTTTATGTCCCATTTGAAGGGATTCATCTAATTTTTGAGATGCTTGACCTAAGTTTTTTATCTGCAAGTCATATTACTTATAGAGCGAGGAAGTAAATTATTGTCATAAAATGCCTACATCTGTGCTAAACTTTGACAAAATTATGCCCTCTTATACATTAAGGGAGCCCATAAATTCCTATTTTAAATTGCCCTGGCTTTGAGATCATGCGGGGACATATATCATTCAGCAGAGCAAGAGAGAGCTTTAGAAGACGGAGGAGGAAAAAAAAAAGAAAAAAAGAGAGAAACAGACGTATCTCTGTCAGGAAACATTAAACAACGTGAAGATGGTGAGATCAATGGCTCCATCTGCTGGTGCAAACTCAGCAATTGCCAAGAAAAATGTACAGCTTGCCAAGAAGAGAAAGGGCTCGAAGTCCCGTTCACACCTAGGCGTTTTGTCGCCAGGGTTGGATTTACTGTCTCCACTGCCACAAGGCCAAGTGGTTCCCCAATGCACCCCCCTCCCCGCCAAACACCCTCCCCCCCTCCCAATGGAGGCTGGCAACCAGATGGCTGGGGCGGCAGGATTAGTTTAAATTTCTTTTGTTTCTTAATTTTTTTTAATCACTTTTTACATTTTTTGTAATTTTTATTTATTCTTCAAATTTTTATTTATCTTAACTTTTACTTTTTTATTTTTTGTAATTTTTTTTATCTTATTTTTTAATTTTTTATAATTTTTTTAATCTTATTATTTTTTGTTTATTTTGTTATAATTTTTTTCTTATAATTTTTTTAGTTTTAATCACCTTTTTGTTTTATTTA